TCAAGTCTATGGAACACAAAATGTCACTAAAATCACTCTGTCCTTCTAAAATCTTTCAGAAAATCGTAAAAATGCACTGAACCGTGATACATATCGTATCATGACCAGAATATCGTCTATCGTATCGTATTGTGAAATTATTGTATCGCTACACCCCTACACTTAAGCTCTCCTTCTTTCATCTGAAATGGTAGAAAAAGGACATGGAGGTGTTACGGGGCTATTTGTCACTCCATCAAGCTGGGGATAACCTCACGCTAAAATGGACACCTAACCAGCTCATCAATGGTACGCTGGGGGACTGCGACCTGGAGAAAAGGTTGGGCCAAACTCAGAAATCACAGCTCTTAGGAAAGAGAAGCATTTAGTGACATGTTGGAACTGATCTGAGCTAAAATGACTGCCTCTGAACCTGAAATTTTTTTTTCACTTTCAGTATTTATTGGGACTATGCACTGACTGTTCCTCTGCGCCAGATTGTTTGCATCCACTGTCACCAACGGCGTAAGTATACACATTGTGAGTTATTTTTGAACTGCAGCATGAGATAATAGTGTTTTAAACGCTGTCGCCTGATTGGACTATTAATCTCTTAAGGTGCAAATTGCTGCAGCTTTAAAATCTGGCTTTTATTTTTGGTGAATGCTTATTTGCCTCTCACAGAAACAGTGAAAAACTGTGCTACACAACCCACTCTATAGTTCATCTTATGTGTTTTTCTGTATGAACTTTTTATTTCCATGATGCAGCTGATTGTGGTGGGACGCTGGTACTCGTCAGTCAGGATGGGATCCAGAGGCCGCCACTGCACTTTCCCCCCGGCGGTCACCTCCTGGCCTTCCTCTCCTGTCTGGAAACTGGACTTCTACCACGAGGTCAACTGGAACCTCCCCTCTGGTCCCAGAAAGGCAAGGTAACAACAATTATTAACTAGTCAGTTCAGTTAATTTATATAGTGCCAATTCACAACAAATGTTGTCTCCAGGCACTTTACAAAAACAATCAACTTAATTCAGTCACACATACATTTCAGTTGATCCTAGTTATCAAACAGTACAGTAATTCTCCAAAATAGTTTAAAATGTTTATATCTAAGGAAACCCAGCAGATTGCATATAGTCATTGACTTTACATCAATCCTTCTTACCGAGCATGCATGTAGTCATAGTGGAGAGGAAAAACTCCGTTTTAACAGCAAGAAACCTCCAGCAGAACCGGAAGTAGGCCATCTGACACATCCAACTAGAGGTTTGAGAAAACAGAGCAGAGACACAAGAATAAACAGATGAACTGATGTAGGATTATTTCGATGTCCATTAAAGTAAAAAGTTAATAGCAGGAGAGGGAGAATGATTAGTTGATGGCAGCATTATATCAGCTGATCCCCTCCTCTAGGAAGGAATCACAGTCAATCAGAACACCAGACCTGGTGTATCTTCTATGGAGAGAAAAATAACTGAAAGAAAACAAAAAGTTAATAGCTGAAATTACAGCAAATAGTTAAATTGGAGAGGAGTAGAGGAAGAAAGTGAGAAAAAGTTATCAGTTTTTCCTCTAGTAGCCTAAGCCTATACCAGCATATCTACAGACATAGACCAGGATAAGCTAGGCCAGTCTAACTATAAGCTTTATCAAAAATGAGCATTTTAAGTCTAGTTCTAAAAGTAGACTGGGTGTCTGCCTCTTAAACTGGGAGCTGGTTCCACAGGAGAAGAGCCTGAGAACTAACCTTAGCCTGGGATTTAGCAATGGAAGAATAAAAGTCAATAATTGCGTAGATTTTCTAGCCTATTCCAAACCATCTGGCTCGCAGTGAGGAGAACCCAGTATCTTAAGTCTGATATTGAAGTCTGCTTGTGTCTTGAAGGGAAAAGTGTTCCCTAAGTTGCGGAAGAGGAGCAGCGCAGCACGCCTCATGGAGCAGGACAGGAACGGTGAGGAGCAGACAGCTGCTGACTACGTCTTTCGCATCGTCTACCCAGGATACCGATACGATGCTAGTGAGTAACCACTTGACACCATCTTATCTGTAAAACATCACCAGGGCAGACGTGCTCATGAAGTAAAGCCGTTCTTTCTGTTGCTAACACTTATTTCTGTTTGAGGTGTATGGCTTGCTACTGTAAAGTCAGGTCGTTTCTTTCCGAGGCTTGTAGGGCAACCCTTTTCTAATTCCATTCTCTGTTGTTTCGCTGGTGTAAGCAGTCACTATAAACTACCACCACACCACGGGCAGCCGCGCACCGTCGCTGGATGACGATGAGGAAGAGGAAGATAGACTCCATGCTATGATCTCAATGATCTGCTCGCGGAACCTCACAGACCCTAATGTCTTGAAAGGTTTTTATCACCTTAACACACCACCAAACCTGCTGCCCCATCCCCACCCCTTAGACCTCACTCAAGCTTCAGACCCTTCCCTCCTCACCTCCCTCGTCCTCCGCCCACTTCTCCGTGTCCTCTTTCGTCTTCCCTCCTTCCCCTACCTAGCCTCTCACCCCCCACAGCTTTGCCTGCCTGTCTGTGTGCTGCCTGAAGCTGAGCCCAGCAGTGAGGAGAAGGCTAGGTCTGATCAAACTATCAGGGACATGGGGAAGTAGAAATGTGGTCCGAAACTCTGACCTGCTGCTACCAAATTTAGCTGATCCTATTTTCTCTTGTAGAACTTTTAATAAATTGAATTAAGATTTTCTTACAAAGATGGCAGACAGTATGTTGATGATTTAGGGAGCTTCTGTATTAGTCGACATTTTAAACTGTATTTAATTTATCATTAGATTTAAGGAACCTCCATGATTAGCTGGTTGTTAATATTGTGTAAGACTGCAACTAAGGATTAGTTTATTGATCAATTGTTCTATTGATTAATTAGATAAACACATTGGCACATTCTTCTGATTTTCCATTTGCCCACTGAAGCCTTTTTAAATACAATATTATAAATATATAAAGAGATTTTTAAATGAGAAAATAAACCTTTTGTTAGCTAAAATCCAATAACAGCTTTCCTTAAAACACTTGATCATTTGTAGCAAACAATGCATCTACAGCTAAAAAAACATCAACATGTGAAAAGCTCAGTCTTTTCTGTGAGACTTACCATCAGTACAGAGTAGGATTGATCTGGTGGTATTTTTTTTGGATTAAACAAGTAATAATTGGATAGCAAAAGATGCTCAATAGGAAATTTATTTTTAGAGAATTTGAATCAGCTAAAACTGCAATTTGACAAGTTCTGGTTAGAACACATTTACAGGAAAAAAAAAGTTTTTAATCTTATTAATCTTTTGCATTTAAGTTTTTAATGCAAAATGTATATATTTTTGTAACGGTTTGGCTAAATTAATGCTCTTAGAGTGCTGTTGCTTCAGCAAATGGCCTTTTTTAGAGTTTGTGTAATCCATTTAATAATTAATGAATTACTAAATTAGTTGACAATTATTTCAATAATCGATTCATCACAATTTATCCAACCTATCGTTTCAGTTCTAATATAATTAGGTCAATTCTGTTAAATATCTTCTTACAACTTTTGTAATTTTTGTACATTTGATTTTGCAAACATGTAACTGAGACAGAAAAAAGCTAACTTTATGTAACAACCACCACACCAAAGAATGTTGCAAATAACATAACCGTATAATGGGTACATGTGGATTGGAAGATTGGCTTTTTGATTTTTGACTGGCTGGTTTACCATGGGAGTTAGTCAAGCTGATTTCTCACCTGCTGATTTTGTTGTGGCTTTTCCCACATTTGATGTATTTTCTTCATTCCCACGTCAGTGACTCTGCTGTTGCCCACCATGGGTAACTGGGACAATGTACACATATTATATGTCAATACATTACACAAATCATTCAGAAAAAATACAATTTCACTTACTTCTTGGTAACCTTTTAACCCAGGGGTCCCCAAACTTTTTCCTGTGAGGGCCACATAACTTTTCCCTTCTCTGGTGGTGGGCCGGAGTCAGTTTGTAAAAGAAAAAGTGTGACGATTACAGGAGTGCCTAAATGTAAAAATTTTTTGTTTTCCAGAAAGCACAATCAAATGACCCTTTCTGGATTCTTCACAGAACAAAAGTCAGGAAATAAATAATAACACTATTAATGAAATAAATAATAATCAAATAACCCTCTCTGGGTTCTTCACAGAAAAAATTCAGGAAATAACACTATTTATGAAATACATACCATATTTTACGGACTATAAGCCGCAACCCCAGAGTTAAAAAAAACAACAACAAAAAAAACAGTAAACATACACATATAAGCCACACCGGGCTATAAACCGCAGATATCTCTGCCACTCTAGGTTTTCCACAACGATGCAGCAGCACGCAGCAGACGGGGGCAGACAC